GGAGGGGGGATGGTACCTGCTGACAGAAATCCTTCAGGATCACTAAAAAAGCAATCACATGCCAAAGTTTCATCTGCTTGGCTATCTGATTCTCCATATGTGGGTTAATCAGGCAAGTGTGCCCCTTAATACTACTTGGAATAGAGGTTGAAAAGAGTGGGAAGAGCATCCTTGGCTTGTGACTTCTGAGTTTGTGGGATGAAACTGAAAGTGTGCTGTCAGTCTTGGAAGAAACTGCTTGGTCACCCTCTCTGGTCCACCACAAAGGTGTTTCCTCAGACGAGTTCTCTGTGGTTAGGTGTCTCTTGCCCCAAATCTCATGAGTTTTGCTTGGCTTCCATCTCGTAGCAAGAGATCAACCACCAAATGAAGATGAAGCCTGCCCTCTGCTCCTGCCCTTGGTGCAGTTCACCCCAAGTGAAGAGAAGTGCATTGGTGGTGCATAATTCAAAGTCTAGTTTTCAAATACCTTCTACTTACATGCCAGCCGCTTTAGTCCTTGATGTCCTGCAAACACTCACACTCCAATCCCTGATGCCTCATGCTCTTCTGCTGACCTCATGGTTCCCAAGATCCTGGGATCCACATAGAAAATGAAATGATTTAGTGCCCCAAACTTTGTAATCCCCTCCATCAGAGAATTGTAAGGAGACACAGAGAGGAGCATGGAAGTTTAGAGTCCCCTTGGTCCATGCAGGTCCAGCAGCAATGAGAGAAGGCAAATGGTAACTGGAACCAGTCTTGATTCCTCCCTTTTTCAGTGTCAGGTATCAGGTGAATATTTGCTAATGTTTGAGCACCAAAAAGATGATAAATTCTTCACCTGTTTATTTCAAACCAAGCCTTCCCAAGACATAGATAACAGCCAGCCACTGCATTGCTTGCAAAGCTCAGCCAAAGGAGCCCTGTGTCAAGCAAGGGAATGAATTTCTTTCCATCTCAATTCTTTGAAACAACAAGTTTCTGTCTTGTGTGATTTTCCTGTTGTGTTTTTCTATATTTGCTAGAAGGAGAGACACAAAGCAGGCTACAGGATCACTGCAAAACACCAGCATTGCAAACTGATGCTTGCAATAAGCCTGGTTATTTAGGACAGTGTTATTAAAAAAATTCCTTTCAAGTATGTAAAAATGAGCGCCTAAAATCAGTCTTCTGCAGAGACACGAGGCACACCAATTTAAAAAAAAATAAAATAATGTATGTCTTCATTAAGCCTGGTACATGTTCCCTCCCAGGCATTCTGTCTTCCTGAGATGGTTGTTTTGTTTTAGCTTCTTTCATTAAAGCACGCCTTTTTATTTTCCTGAAAGTAGGGCACACACTTTTCACATGGAGACTGGCTTATGCTTTAACTGCATTTATTAATAATGCAGGGGAGAATAATGCTTTGCATCCATTACTTCAGTGCCCTTACAGAGCAGAATGGATATTTCTAAAATCAGCCTCAGGAATTAGGGGTCTCTGTGGGGATGTTGTGGGACAGGATGGAGGTTCCGATCTCCCATTCCTGCTTCTGAGTCCTCCCCAGAGGAAATGTTGCTCTGCAGAGGGAAAGCATAGGCATCATCTTTCCCCGCATAAGTGCTCTGAAGCATTCTCTACAGGTGCCCAACGACTATTTAGGGACATCAGTGGGTCCCCTAAGGTGGGTGTCTTGGGGTGAATGTCCTGTAGAACCTTGCAAGGCTTTCTAAGAACAAATACTCCCACTGTTTTGAGGCACTCAGGCTTAAAGTAGTGGGACTGCCTGGGTGCAAACTTCCTACGAGGCTCAAGGCTGTATCCATCACAAATAAAGTTGGCAGAGGGAAGCAGGAAATATATATACCCTATATATATTATCATCTGCTTTGTCCTTTCATTGTGATTCTGTACTCCAATTAATTCACAGAATTTTATTCAGGCACATCTGGTTCATATTTTGCTCTTTTCCACTTAAAATATGTCCTGAACATTACCACGTTGGCTAGAGGTCCTCGCAGGGAGAGACCAGTCCCCACACTCAGTTCACACTGCTTGCCCAGTTCCTACCACCAGATTTGCCAGGGATCCAACAGCTAATGAATAAAAACTCTTTATTTTTCAATGAACAGCGTAGGCAAAAGGCTAAACCAAATCCAGAAGACACTGGTAGGAGATAGACTTTAAATGATACTAGATAGTCATGACTGGATTGTAACCTCCATGAATTTTAGCTCTTGCAAAAGACCAGGAGATATTAATGTTTCTAGAAACCTCCTTGGTTCAACTTTTGTGTAGTTTTAAGTGATGGATTCTCTGAGGATCCATGATTTAATGTAAAGAGCATGCATAGCTATGGCAAACTCCCAGTCATCTCAGACCCAATTTACCTTGATTTTTCGGTAGGTCTAATGTGGGGAGGAGAAACTGCAGAGGAAGGATTCATATAACATCTAAATAAATTGTCTCATCAGTCTTGGAGATTAAAATCTTTGTGAAATCCAGAGGCAAAAATGAATCTGATTTTGAATAAAAGCATAAGTGAAAGAGTGCTTTTGTCTCAGTGCTGGGAGTTAGCTCTCTGGTGTGATGTTCAGGAGTGCAGTGTACCATGGAAAATAAAGCAAGGCAGTTTGGAAATCCTTAATAACTTGCAAACCTTTGGGAGGGGGCACAGGCTCGGAGCAGAACGTGATCAGTGCTCGAGTGGAGGATAAATTGTGCTCTGAATCTCTCACTTTGCACAAACCTTCCGGTTTCCTCTTGGAGAAGGTGAGGAGGGAAGAGCACATTTCCACGTCTCCAGTAGTGGAGCACCAGCCAGCCAGATCTTGCACCCTTAAACATCTCCGCACAGCTGATGATTGCCATGCTGTCCAGTAAAGCAGCACTGCTGGGTGCCCTCCGTGCTCTTGTATTTCTGTCTCACATTAGGAGAGCAGTCTCATGAGTTTTTGGTGGACCAACAGACCTGCAGCCGTGCTTCTCCGCTCTCTCTGGTCAGTGGTGTCCAACCACTGGGACCTGTGCTGTGGCTGGTGTGGGCCGTGGCACCAGTGCCGATTCCTCCTCAGCCTCCTCAATCACTTGTCCCCAGCTTCCAGCCCTCTGGTACTCCAGATATAGAGTTTCACCTTCAGAGATGGCTAATTAAGAGTCTGAGCATACACGGAGGGGTTTGAATCATCATTGCTCTTGCCTTTGGGCTGCAGAAAGGTTTACAAGCCCTGACCCAAGTCATGAAGTCTCTTCTGTGGGGCTTAGCACTGAGCCCCTTGAGGGGTAGGAACTTGCTTGGGAGAACGAGTTATGAAGTGGACCTTTTAAACGTCTTCATGTGTGACTGCCTCGGGGCTGATGGGAGGATAAGGAACCCACCACCTCCTCCTGTGGGCCATGGTGTCCATGCCAAAGAGCTCCTCTTTCTGCCCCAAGAGTCTTTGTCCAAGGTTGTCTGGTTCTGCTATCAGAAACAGATCCCTGCCTACAAAGTCACGCCTCCATTATTCCTTTCTGGCCCAGAGGTCCTTTTTTATATTTTCCTCCAGAAGTCTCTCTGAGTTGGCATATCTGACGCAAAATCCCTTTACTGCATCTTTGGGGAAATCCTACCTGTCAGTAATGCCACCAGCATAGGGAGAAGGTGACAAGGGGGACATACCCTGACCTCCAACCTTCTAGAGATCTTGGGAATTCGGTAATTTGGTGGAGAGAGAGCATGTCAACAGTCTGCCTTCTGTGTTCAGAAAAAAATACCTTTAAAGAAGCCATAAATTGAGGGTTTTCTTTGATTTCAGCAGCAGTAACATTTTACCTCCTTTACCCTCCACAACTTCACAGCAAGGTCTAATCATGAAGTGGATTGCTGAGGATTGATCAACCATCACTTGGTTTTCTTTCCTTAGTAGCTGTGTGTGTGAAATACGTACTGTGGTACATGGAATACCTGGAGCTTGTATTTTTTTTTATAATGACAGCTAAAGGACCTTGTTAAGCTGGTGAGCAGCAAGCTGTGATAACTGGCTGAGGCTTTCAAAAGATCTATGCGCTCTGTTGGGAGGTGGTGGGACTTAAACCAAGGATGGTGGGGGCCACCATTTGAGATTAGTCTGGAACAAAAAGTTAGGGCAGATCCAAAGTTTCAGAGGGAAAAAAAAATGAAAAACAGAAAAAGACTTGCTAAGCCTTTCCCTGAGGCACCGACTTTGGGAAGGAGCCTGGTTGTAGATGTGCTTCAGAAAGCCTTTGGTGTGATGGTGGGCCTTCTGCGGTGAGCACTGGGAATGTGTTTGGATATAGGATAAAGGTATAGCCAGTGCTGGTTCATCACACAGAGGTGCATTATGGTTTAGTATAAGACCTTCTCCTCTTTCAGAAAATTTAGGACCCACAAAATGACTGAATTGTTGGTCACTTCTCAAATCCCACAAGATATGGCTTTTGAGAGTCTTCTGGATTATCTTACTTGGCTTCATAAATACTTCTCAGCAAACTGGGATACAGGGCAACCTGCCCAAAGCTTCTGCTGACTGTCCTTTGCAGAATTTCTGAGGACTCTTCAACGCTGTGATGGGATGGTCACAGCGACCAGTACCTTGTCCGCTGGTGGTACCTGCCATGCAAGCATCTCAAAGGGTTTTACTGTGAATAAAATGCCTTGCACATCAGACTCAGCCTATTTTCTAGCTGGTAAACACAAGGCCAAGGACAGGCGTTACTGGTTCCTGTGTACAGAGGTAACCAGAGGTATCTGGGGAGGGATGGTGGCTCTGCTTGCCACGTTCCGCAGGTGTAGATCTTCCTGCAGGTCACTTAGCTCAGGAAACCAGTCATTTGGGGTAGGTAACTGGTAACTGGTTGACTCCCTCCGTGGGGAGCAAGTGGGGCGAGAGGAACCACAGGGTGAAATTCTTACAGATCGTTGTCCTTAAAAGGTTGGGGGGAAGGGAAGAGAGCAGCAAAGTGATTCAACTGTGACATAAATGTGGGAAGTTGTATCTTCATTGCTGTGTGACACCTCTTCTTTGTCTCCACTCAAGCTACACTTCTGATGAAGCAAGCCTGGCCACAGACCTCCTCCTCCTGTGCCACGGAGGGCACCTTCCATCTCCCGGTGGACACCGGGACCGAGAACAGAACTTATCAGGCTTCTTCTGCAGCATTCAGTAAATAAACCTTTTCTTCTGGGGTTTTACTTGATTGTTTTGTGCCCGTTTGCCTCCCCTCCTGTGGGTTATTTGGGGATGGGGTTATTCGAGATCAGCCTGTTTGCAACAGATGGGATCACTCATGTCTGTGCAGGTGTCCGTGTGTCCTTCCCAAGGTGCTGAGCCCTGACACAAGTGAGATGCTGCAGGTCCTGGGGGTGCTCGCTGGCACCCTGTAGCAGATACATCACCTCCTGCCACCAGAGCTGCCTGGTGGGAGCGTTGCACTGCTGCTCCAGTTCCCTTCTGGGATGAAATTTTGCAGAGCTCTTGGGTTTTTTTCTGAAAACGAGGTAGCCTCCCTGCTCCTTCCTGTTTGCATGTGTTGAAACCATGAAGGAGCATAAGAAGGAGAGCACCAACCCTTCTAGTGCTCCCTCAGAGGAGGAAGCCAAGTGAAGAAGGGTGAAGGCCTCTCTTCCAGCTGAGCATTCGGTCCCCAGGAGCATGCTGAGGTTGTTTGCAGCTGTATATCTGCAGTGGTGATGCTCTGTGGTTGAGCAGAACGGTATGTGTAGAAAAACCAAAGGGAGGTTATTTCCTATACCCTTAAAAGTGAAAGAGAGAATTCCAAATTAAAGGATGATTTTCATGGAACCCCAGTGAAATTCCTACCTTTTAACTCAAAGTGGCTGAGCAGAGACAGGGAGAGGAGATGCTGCTTATGGATGGCAGTCAAACAGGCTTTTCCAGGTGGAGCCTTGTAATCTCATCCCCTAAGAGGCCACATAGTGTCTCCAGGAGGGGTGTTAAGATCCCTGATAAGGCTCCTGGTGCTTCCCCTGGTATGTGGGGTGTCCTCTGGCCTCTGCCCCACTGCTCTTTGCCTGCTCTTGCCCTCATGTTGCCTGCTAAAGCCGGGCCATGGCCAGCGTGGGGCATGCTGCAAGCACGAGATGGGACTGCTCCTAGGTTCAAAATACAAAATTAACTTTCCAAACACCCTGGGACCTGGCGAAGCTCCCAGCTGTATTGGAAATAATAAATATAAAGTATTTAAACTGACTCTCTGCGGGCCATGTCTGCTGTGCCCATGCACACACATGGGTTGAAGCGTTCCTCACTGTCTCTCTTCTCCAGCCTCCCTTTTTATGCTAAATAAAATCGCTTACAGAATGAGGTGAGAGGAAGAAATATTCTTTCTTTTTTTGATGAAAAGAATTATTACAAATAAACCTATTAAAAGCCTGTGGGAGACTTTCTCTTTGGAAAGGGACATCCCTACCATGCTTTGGGGTAGGGGCTGTACGCCTGACATGGTGCATGTACTTTGCGTCGCACCTCATTTCACGCCAGACCAGATTTGACCAAGTTGTACGTGTTTGGAAAAATCTCAGCTTGTAAGTACCAGAAGCCTAGTTATTATTTGGCAAAATTCCCTTGGATGTGATTTCTCCTCATTGCATCTGCGGCTGCTGCAGGTGAGAGTCCTTCCTCAGAATCAGAGAGGGCAAGAACAGGTACCAGAGTAGGAAAAGGTTTGGGGGCAAAATTTGGCTGTGACCACCCAGTGTGGGTGATAAAGGAGATTAATAATGCAGTCACTGATTAGACCCATGCAGGCTGGCCTCGTTTCCAGAGAACTGTCTTGAGCACATTTAATTTGGGAATTAAATTTAAGAGATAAAGCCTTGAGGTTTGATTTGCAGAGGTGCTTCAGGCTTATAGCTGCGGTTGGCTTCACCAGGGTCTGCTGGGAGATGCCATCGCAAGCACAGGCTGTGCAAAATCAGAAGCATTTCAGGTTGGGCATCCCAAATTGGTTCTGTCCTTTGGCTCGATCTCACCTAGCCCAGGTTTTGTTCTTGGGAGAACAGCCTTCCCCTGGCAGGAGATGGGTGAGAGCTTACTCGTGAGCATCAGCAAGGTGTCAGCTCTGGATGGAGGAAAGCCAAGGAGAAGCTTGGGAGATGAATCCTTTTGTTCCCAGAGTGAAGAGTGCCCACCAGTACAGACTGGAGCCGCACACTGAACAGGGATAAATATGAATAAATATGTAATAATTGCTCAGTACCTCCCCACATCTGCACCAGTAAGACAGAAAAGGTGCTGAGGGCTCCCCTGGGCTGTGAACCTGTGGTGAAAGACCATGGCAAGACATGAATGAACTTAAAGGCTGGATAAGGGCTGCCCAGGTGCCCTCATCCTGGCCTTGCCTCCGGTGTGGGGACATGCCTTTGCCTTTTGGCTTTTTGTCCTTTAATGATGGGGTTTTCGAAGCTTGGCTTTGCCTGAGGTATTTTGTTTTGTTGCTTAGATGCTCCTGTTGAGATCAGGGCAGGGTGGGAGGGTCATAGACACAAGGTGGCTACACAGTAGTGAGCAATGCTATAGATTTTATGGTCATTTCTGCCCCAAAGCCTCCTGTTTGCTTATGTCTGGCTGTGTGACAATGTGCCAGTGAGGACGTTGGCAGAGGCAATGCAAACCTGCCAGGCAGCTGCCTGCGCTGGTGTCCACACCATGGCATCATCCCCTGTGATGTCCCCATGCTCGCCACTCCGAAGCTGTTCCTCCAGCCCCCTAGGTGCAGGGAAGGCAGATGGACAATAAAGCCGGAAAAAAGGCTGGAGAAGGGTGAGCCGAGCTGGAGGGTGGTGGCACAAGCAGGACCAGACACCCGGAACCAGTCAGACTAAACTGGACCATGGCACCACGTAGAACTCTCTCAGCCTGGCCCCCCAGGGGAGCTGCTCCAGCCCCCCCAGCATCTTCGTGGCCTCCTCTGGGCCCGCTCGAGCAGCTCCGTGTCCTTCTGCTGTTGGGGGCCCCCGAGCTGGCCCCAGCACTGCAGGGGGGTCTCCCCAGAGCAGAGCAGAGGGGGAGAATCCCCTCCCTGGCCCTGCTGCCCCCCCTGCTCTGGCTGCAGCCCAGGGCACGGGTGGGTTCTGGGCTGCGAGCACACGGTGCTGGCTCACAGGCAGTTTTCCCCCCACCAACCCCCCCAAGTCCCTCTCCTTGGGGCTGCTCTGCATCCCCTCCTCGCCCAGCCTGGATTTGTGCTGGGGATTGCCCCGACCCACGGGCAGGACGTTGCCCTTGGCCTTGTTGAACTTCATGAGGTTCACACAGACCCACCTCTCCAGCCTGCCCAGGTCCCTCTGGATGTGACCCCTTCCCTCCAGCGTGTCACCACACTGCACAGCTCAGTGTCATTTGCAAACCTGCTGAGCATGCACTCGATCCCACCATCTATGTCACTGATGCAGATACTAAACTGTCTTGGTCCCAGTACCAGCCCTTGAGGGACACCACTCATTACTGGTTTCCACTTGGACATTGAAATGCGGACGGTAACTCTGGACGTAGTCATCCAGCCAATTCCTTATCCATCTAAGGAATCATGCTTGTGGTGAACCCTTCATGTCAAAACAAGAGGATATGGTGATACAGAATTTATCACAGAACTTTTCCCCCACCCCACCCACCTTTGTGCTATCAGAAAAATTTATCTGTGCAATTCAGGGCACTTCTGTGTTGCACGATCAGTAAGGTTGAGATTTCTAGAGTGGCACGAGGGATTTAATCTGCAATTTTAATAGAAGCTGGAGCTCAAAGGCTCACTATTGCTTTTAAAATCCCAGCCTGCAGAAGCACAGACCATGCCAACCTCTAATCCTAATAAGGTGTTAGACAGTCATAATTAGGCTTTAAAATTAGCTGTCAGACACACTTTTCTGAGAGGAGCCTCCTTCATCTTGTGTCATTTAAACTTGATTACGCATCATTTTTGCCCACAAATTGTTCTATTTTTTCCCAGTTTATAAACATGGAAGATTACATCTGCCTGGACTATTTGTTTAATACTTTTTTTAATATGGTAGCTAAATTGTCCATGATTCAGCAATTGGGAAACTGCAGCAAGCATTAGCATTCAAGGTGGTGAAACCAGACAGCCTTGAGCTGGTCCACATCTCCAGACGCCCATCAGAAGTGAAGCGTGATGCCGAGAACTGTCAGCCTCCGGGGTCTTTGTTTGGAAAAATGAGTTCAGAATAGAAAAAAAATCCATAGGATTGAAAAACAGGAACTTAGTTCGTCTGTAGGTGACGTTGTTGGATTCCTGGAGGACCTCAGGGTGGAGGAGTCTCCACTTTGCTGCTATGGTGAACCTGCATCTCCTCCTGGTGCATCCATCTCTCTTTTAAAGATAGATGCTGTCCTGCTAATGTAAGTCAGAAAAAGGGTCACAGCTATTCCAGTGTTTAATTAACACATTTTTTTACCAATCTGCAGTAATCAGGAGGCGGTGAGATACTGTTTGGGAGTTCCTAGAAAGCATCTTGTTATCTTCATGCTGTTTCAGTGCTTGGTGGATAATATGAGATATTAGCAGACTTGAAATCCTAGCCTTCGTTAACTGCTGTGCTGAACACTTGTTGAGTAAATTAGTTCATTATATTTGAGTGTTCAGACGTTTTATTGCTAGGCTGAGCCTTGACTTCTCCTCTCCATCCTACACAGTCTTCAGGGCCCATTTGTTCTAAGGATGATTTCACCCAGCCCTCCTGCAAGAGCTGGCTTTCAGCCATCCCAGCCCAAGTGCTTTATCTTGCTCATGTGAGTGGATTTTTTACCATTTCCATTTTTTTAACCATTCATCAACCTGTGACCAACACCTCGATGCCTTCACAGCACATTGATGCAGTCCAGGCCATCCCATGGCAGCAGCTCAGCTTTTACTCTACCCTAAAAAAAACAACCTTAAAGCACAACTATAAGTAGTATCGGGGAATTTTCCTCAATGTAGCGCTTCAGTAATAATGTTTCAGAGGCAACTTCATGGACCCTTCCTTGGAAATGCCTCTAAGGGTTGAGAATTCAGGTGCCGCGTGTCCTTGGTGCAGGGACGTCCCATCTTCGGGGCAGGTCCCATCTCCTTTAGATGCTGTACTTGCCATGAGGTCCTCTCTGCCAGGTAACAACAATTGGATTATACAGTGTTATCATGGACCTGCTTAAAGCCACCCCTTTCTTTTTGGAGAGCAAAATTGGTGGAGGGTATAGGGATCAATCCCATATTCGTCACAAGTCAACAGATAGGATGGTACCTTGAAAGGAAGCAGAAGAGTGGAGATCCTTACGGGATGTCCTCACCTCAGGGGAAGACTTTAAAAAAAAAAAAAAAGACAAATATAACCAGACTTCTATTAGAGGATCTTGAACTGTTACCACTGGCTCTTCAAGGAAAATACAATTTTATAATCACCACATAGCTCAGAACTTAATGCAAATATCAGCAAAAATCTAAAGTGACACCCACAGCCAGCAGGTCAGCTGGTATCATGTTATCCTTTAGGTTATTTTTTGTTAGGTTAGGGTTATTTTAGGGGAAAAATTTCCATGTTGTGGAAAGGATCCTTCATTTTAGTTTGTTCCCCATATACTCAGCATCGCTTAAATGCTGCAAAGTAATTCAAGGTTTGTTCAGACCTTTGATAAAGTTTAAATCTGGGACTTGTATGCTCCAGCTAAACAGACTGATGGGATGATGGGGAAGACTGGGGGATGCTGAAGTCCATTTTGCTTTCCTTACATCCAAACAGAAGAAAGACAAAAACTGCAATCTGCCATATCAGGATCATGAATATTGCAAGCGGCGTTTCCCCGGCTGCCGGTGCCTGCACAACCACTGCCCTCCCAAGCCCCCGCTGCTCCTCCCGGCTCGGCAGCAGCCTCCCGTGCCTGTTTACTGAGGAGAGCAAATGGCTTTTTTTAATGGCAGTGAAGCAGATTTGCTGCTTTTGTTGCTAATGCAATTAGCCTGTGGGGAGCGGGACGGGTGTAAAGGTGCTTGAGCATCACTTGGGGTTGCCTTTCCCACCTGCAAGGTGAGCTGATGGTCACAGCCCTCCTTTGCAGGAGAGAAAACTCCTCAGCACTATCCACTTTGGTGAAATACTTCAAGGCATCCATAATTTTTACCTTAATATTAAAGTTTGGATGGTCAGTGTTGCTGCTTTTCTGGTCATTGCTTGGAGATATAGGCAGAGGAGAGCAACACTGTGCCATGAAATTAGATCCTCCAGCAATTTAATTCTGCTTTTGCCCATCACGCCCCAAGCAAAAAAGGTGAAAGGACAAAAATCTGAGAGAAGGAAAAACATTATTCTCCTCTAGTAGATGTATAAAGACAGGTAAGTAGATGTGGCTGCTGTCTGAGGTGATTGAAATGTTGGTTAAATCCCATCAAGTCATGCCTTGACCGTTGGGAATACTCATCAGCTCTATGGGCTGGTGAAGGCTGGGTGGGACGAGCCACGGCCGGGCTGGGTGGAGGGTGCAGCCCCGGCTGCTGTGATTGATTAGCCGGGGGCTGGATGTGGAGGTCTTGGCTTGGTGGGTTTCATGAAACGTCCATAGATGCTGGTGCATCTCGGTACGTCTCCTCCGTGCTGAGTGATGCCCAGCGAGCAGCCGGTGCCTCATGAACTTCAGCTCGGGTTGCTCGTGTGCCGGGTGGACCAGCTCTGCAGCTGCAAATCCTCACCCTAACTTGAACTACTCTTGTCGTTACCAGGGTACACTGCGGGGACTCCCTACAAGGTCCCACCGACCCAGAGTAACAACGCACCTCCTCCCTACTCGCCGTCTCCGAATCCGTACCAAACCGCTATGTACCCCATCAGAAGTGCCTATCCACAGCAGAACCTGTACACCCAGGTAGGTGCCTCACTCAACGGCGTGCAAATACAGCCCGAGGTTCCTGCAGGGCTTCGTCCTTGACTGTCAGAGCTGAACACCCGTGTCCTGGTGGGATGGAGGGCCTTATGGTGGGTTTTCAGGATGCTGGGGTCTCTCCTGGATGAGACATTCTCTCGGGTGGTTGTTGGTGTGCAGCAGAGTCAACACAGTGGTATCTCTGTGACTCGGCCAGGTTGGGAATTGGGTCCTTTCCCCCAAAATCACATGCCTGACTGCCAGGGCTTGCTGGCTCCAGAATGGTCCCTGCACCCACCTCTCCCCACCTTCCCCAGCTCTCAATGCAGCTCTTCCCCAGGGCCACAGATGAGGCTGGGTCACCACACGGTCCACTTGCTGGAGGCTGGTGGCATCTCACTTGACTTCCATCGCCCTCCTGCCACCTCCCATGGAAAAGCCTCTGTGTCACCTTCGCCGGCACAAGCTACTTCAGGCATGACCCAGATTCATGTCCTCATGGAGGAGCTCCTCCCTGAGTGCCTGGATGGGTTTCTAGTACCACCTTCTCTGCTCCTGCATTGCCACCACCTCCAGCTATGTGTTGGGGCCAAGATCCTCCATGGGGACGCAATTTAGGGCAGATGCCCTCCAAAATTCACTTTGACACCTCTTCCCACTGAAGATCACGAGCTCCTCGGAGCAATCTGGCCCTATGGCTTCTTTAGATTTCCCCTCCTCTTTAAAATCAAACAACCAACTTCTCCAGCAGCTTCAACCTCTTGGAGTGGTTTCTCCATGCCTTGCTGAGACTGGAGCATCTCTTCTTGCCAATTTTGTCTGCCATCACCTCTCCTTCCATTAACTGAGCGTTGCACAAACCACTGGGGACCGAGCCCAATTCTACCCGCTGGTTCCTCTCCAATCCTAGCCACAGCAGGAGGTTGGCATCTGCTAGCAGTGTCCACCAGCAAGCCTGAGATGGAGCAGGGCTTGCAGATGCTCTTTCCTCATCTCTGCTTCCCAGGAACCAGCAAATTAGAGTTTTGACAGCCTGGAAGGGAACAACGAGAAGATGCTTTGGTGGATCCTTTCAGCACATTGTGCTTGCAGCACTCACCGCCTGGGACATTCCTTCTTCTCAGTCACCTTTTCTTCATGGGGCCTAATTTACCTTAACACGTCCTTCTTGCTGCCCAATGAAATGCCTTTCAGCATCTGCAATTTGTCCTATCAACCTTTGTAGCGCCTGAAAGAAAGAAGTAATTTAATAGTTCACCTGCATCTCCTCCCTTTAATCCAGACCTTCAGAGGTTCTCTAATGGCTTTCACCATCACACAATAAAATCTCCCTTTGTTGTGTCAAACCCTCTAGTCTTCCCGACCATCCCTGGTTTGCAGGTACTGGTGGTGTCCCTGCCTGTCCCAGGGACGGCAGTTCTCTCCCTTGTGCTGCTCATGTTTCAGGCCCTTCATTATTTTGGAGGTGGAGCTTTCCCCATTGGCTTCTTTCTTTTATTCCCACCCACCCTTCCCCCTTTGTTTCAAAACCCTGCGGGTCTCAGCAGCTGGGATTTCAGAGCCCCTCTGTCTCCTGTTGGAAACCCAAGAAGACAACACACTTCCCCGACCCAAGCAAGAATCTTGGGATCAGCTGAGAGCCATGGCTTTTTCTTCCATCTCTTGTTCATTTTCTATGCCAGCAACCGAAGTCTTTTGGGTCCAGGCCCCATCCCACCCAACGGAGGCAGCCTGGTTTGTCCCTAACGAGATGACTCTCTGACCTGTGACGCTGATCCCCCTCCCAGTCCTGTTGCCTTCATCCATCCCAGGGACAATCCCCCAGGCTCAGCTTCATCCTCGCTTGTCCAGGAGGTCTCCCAGCACAGGAGCTTGTTCATGGGACAGATGACCCCTTTGGCAGCACTTGAATGATGTCCCATGGGCAGCTCTTTGTACCAGCAACTACGCGTCACGCCTGCTTGTCTTAATATTGCTTCTCAATAAAACACTGGGCTTCAAGTCACGGATTTGGCTTGCGCTTTCAATCCAATGACAAAGACGATGATGTTTTTTTTCCCCTTCTCAAACAGGGAGCTTATTATACCCAGCCAGTGTACGCGGCACAGCCTCACGTTATCCATCACACCACCGTGGTTCAGCCCAACAGCATCCCATCGGCCATCTATCCGGCCCCGGTTGCTGCGCCCAGGACCAACGGTGTGGCCATGGGGATGGTCGCTGGGACCACCATGGCAATGTCAGCAGGTAAGAAGGAAAATCTTCCGTGTTCTGAGCCATAGTTTCATCTCTTAGATGAGATGTATCCAAACAACACGTGCAGGAGACTTGTCCTGGACAAAAAAACTCTCTGTGCATCCAAGGTGCTGCCTGCAGCCTTGCAGGGTATATCTGGCACGCGGCTGCAGAATTGCCTTGCACACAGCTAATTGCAGCTTCATCTGCTAGTTTTGCTTGCTGGTTACTGCTCCTTTGCAGGCAGAAATCAATTCATTTGCTCCTGGTACTGATCTCAGTTTTTAGACTGGCAGAGGAGACCTTTTGTTTGCCTCACTCTCGAGGGATATACTCCTGCATCCTAAAGTATAATATTTTCCTCTGTCTATTCCATAAGTAGAGGAACAACCAGGTTTCCCCATATTCAGATAGTGTTGTATTTCTATCCTTGAGTTCTTTTTTTAAGATACTTATGGCCTTGCTTTCATTTGATGAAATGACCATTAACCTTGGTTTACGTATCCCAAATCCTCTGCATTTGATGTGCAGGATTGCTTCAAACTGCAATTAATGAATAGCACATTAAGTAAGGGTATGGGCTGGTTTTATTTTTTCCAAAGCCTGTATTTATCTCATTAACAAATCTTAGGATTGTATATTGAATTATGCCAAGAAATGCATCATTCATCCTTTCACATCTGCATTAGCTGTGAAAAAGGACTTTGTTATGGGACACAATCCCTGGTGCAAGCAGAGATACTGCAGCTTGGGTATGACAAGAGCCACTCTGAGAGATTTACTGTTGTTTATACTGAGAAGTGGATACATGTAATTAATGCACATGGGATGTCTTAAAATGACATTAGTAGAATTTGTAGAGAGATATCTAGAAACCAAGAAGTTCTTTCAAGCACCCAGTTACTTCCAGAACAGAGTAGTTTGGGGCTGTATTCTCCTTCCCCATGTCTGCTGAAGGCACCATGCAAATTCTCACCTAAAATCCCTCCGCATATCAGCTGCACACTAAAAGAAAAGAGGCTGCACTGGGCAGTGCCTCTGCTTCATGGCTGGGAGAGGATCGCTCTGTCTGCTGCATCCCAAGGTTCACGGCTCTGTGGGTTTAAATGAAGCAAAAGAGCTCCACTACCCCTGGGAGATGAGTGGCAAAGCATCTTAGTTTTCCCTGGAAGGTCTGGGTTTTTTTTCTCAGTTACTTTTGCAACCCTCATCCCTTCCAATTTGGTCCTTAGATGTTTCAGATTGCTGCAGTGATCTGCTGTTGCAGTTTAGCCCGGTGCCTTCAGCAGGTGGAAGATGTCAGCAGGTTAGTGGTTAGCTCTTGCTGCTGGTCTTTTGGGACAAGGAAAATTGGAAAAAGCTGAATTAATTGCTGAAAGTAGCATGCAGAATACGCTGGAGCTTTTGGTGTGTTTATTCTGTTCATGGTGCTGGGTGATACCAACCACGAGTCGAATGCTTTCGGTTCAGGTCTCATGGGCCGAATAATATTTGGGAGAATTGAAGAATGAAAAGAAGGCAGCTGATGCTGTGCCTCCCCCTTGGATGTGGTCAGCAGCACCGGACCCTCGGGGTACTGCTCCCCTGATGGAGCTCTCCTCCTTGCTAAGTGTTTCTCTGTGCCGTTACAGGAACCTTGTTGACCACCCCACAACACACCGCCATCGGAGCACATCCAGTTTCCGTGCCAACGTACAGGGCTCAAGGAACCCCCACCTACAGCTACGTACCTCCACACTGGTAAACCCACTGGCCAATTCATGTAAGTGCTGCCTTTCTAGGTCTTGCTCTGCCCTTGTCAATTAATTAGCCAGCGGGCACTGCCATTGCTTCTCTCCTTCCTACAAAGCTGCTGAATCCCTTTGGGCGATGTTTTGACTCGAGAAGAGCCATTTAGCCCCGCTTCCCGGCAGGGATAGCTGCACGGCGTGCTGTCACGGGGTTACGGAGGGTGTTAGCAAAGCATGCCATACCTTGACCTTCCCTCATGCTGCTCGCTGTGTGCAAGGCTTTACCAGTGACCTCAGTGGCATCAAGCCACTCACTCAGGCACTGTGAGGGTGGAAATTTTCATGCTTTAACGTTTTGGATGCATCACGCTCTTCCATAGAATCATGGAATGGTTTGGGTTGGAAGGGATCTTAAAGATCATCTAGCTCCAACCCCTCTGCCCCAGGCAGGGACACCTTCCCCCAGCCCAGGGTGCTCCCAGCCCCGTCCAACCTGCCCTTGAACCCTTCCAGGGAGGGGGCAGCCACAGCTTCTCTGGGCACCCTGGGCCAGCGCCTCACCGCCCGCACAGGGAAGAATTTCTGCCTTAGATCTCACCTAAATCTGCCCTCGGTCAGTTTAAAACCATCACCCCTCATCCTATCCCTACACTCACTGATAAAGAATCCCTTCCCATCTTTCATATCACTTTATTATGTTGTTTTTTTTTTTTTTCCCCGTTAAAACGTGCTGGGAGATCATCCTGTTCATCATTAGCACCAGAGTTGCGTGCAGCTGCCTGCAGCCAGCTGCAGGTTCGTGGCATGCTCAGGATCCCAGCAATCCCAGCTGCTCAGTTAAATGCCCTCCGCGTGTTGCTGGAGCCCTTGGTCCATCATGCCCAATTAACGGGCAACGCAGCTGATGGGAACACATGATGCTGCACAGGGAGACAGCGTAGATCTCATCCAGCCCCGGGGGTTATCTGAAATCTTTCCTTGCTGCATACATTAAGCTGGGTTAATCCTACCCGTGACAAATTGTTGTGCAATTAGCAGCAAGCATCCCATCTGCATATTTTTAATCCTGTGTATTGGATACCACCGGCGAGCTGCTGCTTTCTCAGCTCCCTGCTCAAGGAATTGCCCACAGAGCGGCGTGAGGGATGGTTAAATCCCGTATGCATCAGCTCCACGTGGTGCAGGGGTGCAGGGGAGAGGAGAACAGCCCTGTCTCATCCCACACCACTTGCTTCTAACTCCTTGGTTTTCCCATGTTTGCTCTCTTCCAGATCCAGAGTCAAACATTGTATGCAACTACACAAGTCTTACATCGGTGCTGTGGCCACTGTACTGCAGCACCTCGTCTGTTTGCAAGAACAAAAGAAAAAAAAGAAAAAAAAAAAAGTGCAAGGGTCACTTTATGCATTCTTTAGTGGTTTTTGTAAAAGCTGCTTTTTCTAATCTTCTGCCTCTTTTTTTTTTTTTTCCTCTCCCCCTTCCTCCTCCCCGGCCCACATAAATTGTGTAACACACATACTGACACTGAGCAATAGTAAAGTTCTCTCTTTGGTCCTATCATTTGAAAGCTCAGAATATTCACTTTTCCAGCATTACCCAGCTGAGTGGTGCAAAGATCCCCCACTTCTTGTTTGTTTGGGTTCTTTTTGTTATTTTTCTGTTGTCGTTGTTGTTGACGAGAGCCTAGATTTTCTTCGGCTAGTAAGAGTGGTTGATGTTCAGGGTACTATGTGAAAAGCACAGCGCTGGTAGGCAGGCTTATTCCGATTTGGTTTTGGGTATTTTTAGTTGAATAATATAAATTATTTAATCTTCCATAACATATTACAAGAAAATTGGTGTCTTCCAGATAGCTGTCGTGATAGATTATAAATGCATTATCTGCAGTGAAATTCTGAACTCATCCCTTCTTTTGTAGGAGTAAGAGAATATAAATATAATTAGCAATGTAACACACTTGTCTTAGGAAGTAGGAGGACTGGTCACCATCGGGTCTTTGGTCTGCTTTTTCCAGCTGGGCAAACGGATCTTGCGTGGTGGGAAGAGAGCAGTGGAGCCATGTCTTCCCTGGTAGCATCTTGCACCTCTTGGGAAAACCAGCTGCTCCCCATCAGCTGCGTCCTGGGGCTGTGTGAGGGAGAAGGCAGCTCCTTCCTTGCATGGCTCCCGTTTGCCAGCAGACATGAGCCGGGCAGCTGTTGAAAGAAGCAAGGAGATGTCTAAGTGTTGGTCTGAAGAGCTTTGTCAGGTTCAAGGAATGGTCTGAAGAGCTTCTCCCAGTCCAGGAGTTGGTCTGATGAGGTTCTCCAGGTCCAGTGGTTAATCTGAAGAGCTTCTCCAGGTCCAGGTGTTGCTCTGAAGAGCTTCTCCAGGGCCAGGGGTTGGTCTGAAAGAGCTTCTGCAGGTCCCATGGTTGGTCTGAAGAGCTTTTCCAGATCCAGGGGTTGGTCTGAAGAGCTTCTGCAGGTCCAGTAGTTGGTCTGAAGAGCTTCTTCACATCCAAGGGTTGGTCTGAAGAGTCTCTCCAGAGTCTGGTGGTGTAGGGAAAGAGGGTGGCTGGTTGATGGAGAAGAGTCCTCAAGTCGGGGTGAGGGGGAAGACTGGTGGCTTCAACTTGCACCCGTGTTGTTGGCAGGGCTGAGACCAAACTGCGATGCCTCCGTGGCAATTGAGGTGCCCCCCACCCCACCCTGGCCTCCATTCTTTGGGTTACAGCTGGGCTTGGAGACTTCCAGGAGAAATGTTCATCCACGTGCAAATCCCAGCACCGTAGGGAGAAGCCAGAGAAGGGGATGATGTCCAGTGCTCTGCTTGGTGAGTGGAGAGAAGTGGGAGGAAGAGGAAGCAATAGCAATAAACATGTCGCCTTCCTCACGGGAAGGTACCTGAGAAAAGACGAGAGCAAGGAAGGTGATCCACAGTTGACATGGACTGGGCTGGGAGACAACGGGCACGCAGAGGCTGTGGGCATCGGGGTAATTTCTGGGGGTTTTGGCTTATCCAGGGACGCAAGGATGTGAAGCCAACTGCGGCTGGTGACATCCCACCTTGGGGTGTCCAAGTAGAGCAATAAGTTGTCTTGAGGGCAGCGGAGAGAGAGTTTGTATTTGCTGACAATGCTCGTGGCCAGGTTATTTTTAAATCCTTATCACTAAACCCAGCATAGAAACAAGGGTTTTTTTCTTTTTCTTTTTTTTTTCTTTTTTTTTTCTAAAACAAAACCAACATTGTTGGGTTTTGATTTTTCCCTCAAGCGTGCCAAAAGAGTTACATGCACCCAGCAGCGTGTTTGCAACTCTCACGTCTCTGGGGCTCTGAGGTTGTCACAATGGACTAAATCCAGAGCCTTTAAAGAGGTCAGGTTAGGAGATGTGGATGGGAATCCCTCCCAGCACTGCCTGGCATGCGTTTCCGATCCACGCATGGTGTTGAGTCAGTGCCCAGATGTCTTTGTTGGTTGCTCTGCTTTGGTTCTACCTGGATCACGTCTCCAGGTGGAGGTGAGGGCAGTGGAAACCAACACTAGAGGGTCACCTTGACTGGGCCATGGGTCTTGTAGAGGTCAGACTGGAAGGTCTTTCAGAAGAGCAAGGTGACCAGTTGGTGGCACTTGGGTGAGACCTCCTTGCTCTTGGTGGTGTCTCCCAGCTTGGCTTCTGCTGCCGTTCGGAAGAGCTACTGGAGGTCCTTCCCATAAGCAAGTCCAAATGAGGAGACACAAGTTTATGGACCCAAGAAGACTTTTCCTATTGCTGGTTGGGCCCAGGTGGTTTGTCAGGTCCAGTGGTGGCACCAGCACTTCTGTATGGGGGTCATTTGGTTGGTTCTGTTGATTTTAAAGGAAATCTAGCAAAGTGCTGGTTGATCTTTCCAACCTCAGGGGGAACAACTTGGGTGAAGACAGAACACCAGTGCTGTGGGGTGGGGAAGGTGGATATCTCCCATGTAGTAATTTGGGTTGTGCTTTGAGTTTGTATAAAAGGAAAAAAAAAAAAAAAAAGAGTAAGCAGAGAGTTGCCCGATTCAGCTTGATGAAGCCAAGGGTTAGCACGTAAAGAGCAACAGGACATTTGGAAATGGCAATACTACATCGTCCTTTCACTATTTGTAGCATGCTGGGGAAAAAAAACAAAAACAAAAACAAAAAAACAATAGATCACAGGAATTGAAGACCTCTCAAATGCCATTTTTTGCTCTCGTTGTTGACTTCATGTTCTATTTAGGAGCTGTCTATCGGCATTGAAACACGTAGCATAGCGGAAGCTCTAGCCAACGTAACGGCACTATGACATTGATCTCACAGCCCGGGCTCTGAGGAGAAGGACTTTTCCCAGCAGATACCGTCCTACCCCTGGCCTAGGCACCCTTCACCTTTAACTGCTTTAGGAACAACTGCTAAAATTTTGGCCCATGGCTAGGAAGGAGGTGCTAGGCTTTCTCCTGAAAGGAAAGAAAACACTAAAGGTGGAGGATCACCCAGTGTTACCGCTAATGAGAGCCGACACGGGGCGGTTTAGTTTTAATTCCTTCGCTTGGATCAGTAGCAGATCTGATGGTCCTCATCCTGTTATGCCCAGGCAAAAATACTCATGAACTCAACTGAGGTGTGAAGGGGTGAAATGGTTGCCGGCTGTTGGGCGCGAGGCTTTGGTGAGCACATTGGGCAAGTGGTGTTGGGTTTGGGCTTGGAGCACTGCATGGCTCCAGGGCCACCACAGGGCTCCAGGCTTGGGTAGCTCCTTCCTAAGGTGGCTTCCTGGGGCTGTGGTGGTGGGGAGATGCTCCTGGCCACCATGTGGGGCTTGTGACCACCCAGCTCATGCCAGCAGTGACCTGCCACCCTGTCCCCTTGCCCATGGAGGAATGTGATTTTTTTTTGTTTGTTTGTTTTTGGGTAGATGGAAGGATGGAAGGAAAACCCACGATCCCAAGCCCTTTCCTTGGCCAAGTCATGGCTTAAGCAAAGGTCCTGGGGAGGTCACAGCCCAGTGGGGGATGCGTTTGGGGAGGGGAGCTGCACTGATGGGGGCCACCAGCTTCTCAAATAGTTGACTTCAGCAAAGCTTTGCTGATGTTGGTTGAGGAAAAGTGTTTCCCACACTGAAGGATCACACCAGGCATGAGCAGGAGGGGTTAAATCATCCTTAGCAGCCAGCAAAGTGTCTTGGAGATTAAAATTCCAGCTAAAGAGGAAGGAAAATAACTCTCAAACCGCCGTTATGACAATTAACCCGTCCCTGCCATTATCTCTGCTTTAAAACACGAGCTGTAATGCAAGATTTGGGGGTCGGGGGGGGAGAAAAAAGCATCTTGATCGTGGTGGTGCCCCCCATCCCGTGCCTGTGCCCACCACGCCTCCAAGCGGCTGAACCCTCCGGATTTGCTCCTGTATTTTCTGAAGAATAAGAACAACCCAGGCGAGGTTTTGGTTTTTTGGTTTTGTTTGGTTTTTTTTTTGTAGTTTCAAGCTGTAATTACCATGAAGTGTTTTTTAAGGGGTTGGGGTTAATGAGGGATGTTTCAGAGTATCTGTTTTTTTCCACCGGTATCAGAGAGACACTCCCCACCGCCCCCCCCCCCCACTTTGCCATCCCCTCCTTCCCCTCCTGCATCCCGCTGGATGCAGCAGATTTGGGATGAGGCTGTTCCCAGCCAGAGGGCGTGAAATCACATCTTGCTTTTGTAAGAGGGAGAAAAAACACATTGGGGGGGTTTATTTTCTATAAGAAAACCCAACCAGCTGACAATAGCAATAAGAGCTGCTGGATATCCATAAATCCAGGTTTTTTAGTTTGTTGGTTTTTTTTTTTTTTTAATTGTCAATATTTCAGGCGCCCCCATCATGGTCTCCACAACGTGGCGACCCTCTGCTCATCTTCCCTTTGCTTTGCCACGAGCACCGGGCTGCAGGCTCTGGATAGTTTCTCTGCATTCCCATAGGGAAAAAAAGAAAAATAAAGCCTGTTTAGGAGCTTGGGAGGAAGGAGAGCTTGGAAAAGGTGTTTTTGTGGTGTGTTGCACCGTGGCACTTATAGATTCACCTGTCATCGGGTAAAATAACCTGTTACAGTGATGTTTGCAAAGCAGGAATAGCAAAATATGTGGTTTAGCAGCAGCAATTCCTGGTTGGAAACGCTCAAGCGTGCTGTTTATAAGGAAAAATCCTGCTGCAACGTGGCCACCTGCAGCATCGCTGCATTTTCCTGCAAGGGGGGGAGCTGGGTTTTTCCCGGGGCAAAGGGGGTTCGGGATCAGAGCGCCATGGGGGGAGCAATCTGTAGGGTGGGCAGCCCCGGGGAAGCACAGGAAGGAAGGAAAAATGAGCTAGTGGGGTGCAGGATGGCACCCAAATCCATCCCTCTAGCACAGAGGAAACCCATGCCAGGCTCCTACCCCTCTTTCTCTGTAACTGATTTTTTAAATTCATTTTGACCGCCAGGCCAGCTTGTTTTTAAATATTATTGGACCTCTTAAGCAAAAATAAATATTACAAAAAAAATACTAAAAAAAACAAAAAAACACACAAAAAAAAAAAAAAAACAAGAAAAAAATTTAAAACCAAGAGTAACCATGTCTTCCATGTCTAAGTCTCAAAGGTGTGTAGGGAACATGGCCTTGAACTGATGCCCTGGAAGCCCCACAGCCTCGGTTTGTCCATCTGAAGTGTAAATTTGGGGTTTTTTTTTTCCTGTTTGTTTTCTGTTCTGGTTTTGGTTCTGAAGATCAGGTCGTGATCTCCCTGACAGATTTCAGCCAAGAGTTTGTAACTGTACGATATTTACTGTAAGATGTAGAACATTCGATAACTATTAAAATGTTTCCAAAAAAAAAAAAAAAATAAATAAAAGAGCCCGAGAGGGTTTGGTGGTTGGTTTTTCAGTGCGGTGATGTGTTGATGAAGCGAACAGGACTGGCCATAATCCCATTTCTAGGTTGGTGGTGGAGCTTGATGGTCTCCAACTCAACCTTGGGTGGAGCTTGATGGTCTCCAACTCACTCAACCTTGGGTGGGTTGTCCCACTGACCCAAACGTGGCCAAGCCAACGTGATCCTATAGACACAGCTCCTATGGAAAGGGGAGTGTGTGATCTTCAGGGTGAGAAGAACATCACCACCCTGTTCTCGTGGGTTGATTATGACTTTGGCGAGAGGACCTGTAGATGCAGGAGACGACCTTTGGCCAGAGCAACCCATGCCCCGGTTGGGTTGTTGGTAAGGTGGGAGTTGGCCCATGAGCCAGCGACTGGCATTAGCCGGCGATGTTGAGCGCTGGCACCTGGTGATGGAGGGAAATCAAGAGCTCATGATGTTCCTGGAGCAGGTTCAGCAGACCCAGAGGGTGACCATGAAACGGCATCCTGGCTGCACGACGTCCTCCATTGCGTGGTACCTCCCGCGGAGCTGTGCTCCAGCATCACGGCTCCCGGTGACGCTCTCCGGCTGGCCACCACACTGTGGCCACCACCACCGGTGTCATGGCTCCCGGAGATGCCCTCCATCGGGCCACCATGCCGTGGCCACCACCGGACCTCGGGGACAGGGGATCCTTCTCACCAACTGGGCAACACGTCAGATTTGCTGTGTTGCTGGTGGCCACCTTGGTGGAAGGAGCAGAAGCCAAGCTGCTAACCTCCAGCACTTCACGACTCCGAGCGGGACTGGCTTTCACACGGTGCCCAATGTCCTCTGTCCCCGCCGTGGGGTCTTCGTGGGTGTCACCGTCCCCCCGAGGCAGCCCCCAGGCCAGGTGCCAGCTGTGGAGGACAAGGGATGGACCATGTCTCCTGGTGAGGCTGGATCAGGCCCTTCACACGGTGTCCATCACCCCGCTGGGGACATCCCACAGTGGAGGGGACAACCTAGGGCAGCCCCACAGGTTGTCCCCACACCCCCAGATGTCCCCACCCGCAGCAGGTCGAGGACTGCATCCGTGTGCATGCATGTACACATGGGTTTGCGTGTGCATTTATGCACGTGTGTCCATGCATGTGTGTGCCTGCGCGGCGGCGTGTGATCGGGGGGCACGCTTAGAGCTCCATGCGCAAGTGTTGGTGTGTTTGTATGACTGCAGACACGCGTGTGCACGTGTGTGTGTGCAGAGGTGGGTCTGCACGTGCAACTTAAGCACACGTCCCTCTGTGCAGATGCACATGTGCAGCAGGGTGGGAACACGTGTGTGTGTACACATCTGTGCACGTGTGCATGTGTGTACATGCTTACAGAGCTTCCATGCATGTGCAACTCCATCCCTGTGCGTGCAGGTACACGCATGGACACACGTGTGTGGGCACGCAGAGGCAGGTTTGCACACGCACACGTTCATTTGCATGTGTGCGTGTAGCAACGTGTGCACATTGACATATGTACACATATACATTGCCACGTGCAGCAGCCCTGTCCTGGGGGGGAGGTGCACACACGTGTGAGGACACGTGTGTGCCCGTGCAGCCACCCATGAGCCACCAGCACCCACCCCCGCACCCCCAGCAGCACCCACTCCACAACCCCCTATAGCACCTTAAAACTGGGGACATGAGGAAATGGGGGGCTGGGGGTGGACTTGAACCCTGTCATGCTCCATTTTTTTAAAGTATTTTTTTAAGCCTCCCAGCTGCCAGAAGAGGTTTGGGGGTGAGGGGCTGCTCCACCCTCCCAAACCACCAGATGCCCTCATTAGGCTTCAGAGTTAACGCTCTATCCTCCAGCCTCCTGAAGCCCCTTTTTTTTTCCCTAGGAAGGGGCCCCTCACCCCCACCTCACCTCGGAGGGGCCGTCGGTGCTTTTCCACCATGGGGGCCTCACCCCGCTGCCGGCGGGGAGGGGACCTCGGGGGGGGTCTCCCCCCACCTCGCTCCTCAGCTCGGGGATCCGGGACACCTGAAACCTGTCGGGAAGATCATATCAGCCTGTCCCCACTTCTGTAGCGGGGGGACAAGCTGGAAGGGGGGTAAGAGGAGGGGTTGTGTGGGGGTCCCCCGCTTACCTGCCGATGGAGAGGATGGTGACCTCGCTGGGACGACCCCCGGGTTTGGGGATTTTGGGGGCCCTGAGCACCTGAGGCCACTTTTTCTGGCTGCAGCGGGTGCACGGGGCCGGACCCTGCACCGTGTGGAGGTGCTGCTGGTGCTGGCAGGCAGGGGGAAACTGAGGCAGGAGGTGCAGCCTGGGAAAGGAGGGGAAGATGGCATCAGCCTGGGGTTGTTCCCACAACAGGGGGGGGGCATGGAGGGGGGGGGGGGGGCTTACTTATTTGGGGGGGCGCAGCCCGGTGGCATCAGCTGTTGGCCACGATGCTCCTTCAGCAGCTCCTCCAGCGCCGCAGCGTTTTCTAAGCAGGGGGGGAAAAACACACAGTGTGTGTGTGTGTGGGAGGGGGATGTCACGGGGATCTGGACTGTGTCACCCCACCCCAGGGACCCCCCCCAACCCTCCCCCCCCCCCCCCCCCCCCAACCTTTCTTCTCGGTGATCAACCGCACCAGCACCCCAATGGTGTCCTCGTTGGCGTCCTCCAGCTGGTAGATGGAGCTGGGACCTGGGAGCAGAAATTGAGGGTGGTGAGGGGGGACAGGACACATAAACCCCCCCAACTCCCCCCCCCAGGGCGCCTTGAGACGTGGACCAGAAGCCACGGGGATGGGCTGAAGGAGGTGGGCTCACAACCAGGGGCTCACCAGTGCCACCGGGCTGGGGCTCCTTGCTGGTGGCGCACTGGGAGCCCTTCCTCTTCAGCAGGTTGCACACCAGGATGCCCAACAACCCCATGGCGCAAAAAACCGGGACGATGGTCAGCACAGCCGCCTGCGCCGCCGCCTCCTCCTTTTCCTCCTCTTCCTCACCCATCAAGGGCACCCGTGTCCCGTTGGTCCCTGGCAGCCAGCCCAGCGTTTCAGGGCTGCGGGCTCGCCGCCGGCCTGGGGGGAGGCACCAGATCAGCCTCAGAGCCGGGTTTGGTTGGGATTAAATCTCATTTTTTGGATTTTTTTTTTTTTTTTTTTTGTTTGTTTGTTTGTTTGGTTGGTTTTTTTGTTTGCCCCCACCCCCCCACCCCTCCATGCCCTATGCCAGGAGCCCCACTGCAGGGTCGGCCCCCAGGGAAGCAGAAGCCACTCGTCTCATGAGTGGAGCAATTCACATCCCACCATCTTGAGTGCTGGGATGCAAAGCTCTTTGAAACCCACGCCCCCCCCCCCCCACCTCCTCAACACTGGGGGTGACACCTCCAACCCAAACACCCACCTGAGCACCCCGGGGTGTTGCGGGGAGCAGCAGCACAGGGCAAGCACCAACCCCGGGGCTCCCTCTCCCCTTCAGGGCTGTAAAACCTGCGGGGCGGGAGGGGAAGGTCAGGATTGGACCCACAAGCGGCATCGGGGCTGGGGTGTGGGGGGTCACAGCATCACCCTCCCCCCCCCCCCCCCCCCTCCCCGGGGCTGGGCTCACCCCGGCAGACACGCTCCGCAGCGGCTGTCGGTCACCGCCGTCCCCGGTGCCACCAGGATCCTGTTCCTGGCCCGGCAGCGGGTGTGAGCGGAGCAGGATGCGTCCCCCGGTGAGAAGGTGCCGGGGGGACACGCTCGGCACGTCCCCGGCGAGCCGGACGCCTGCGTGGTGGGAAAAGGGAGGTGAGAGACGTCCTGGCACCTTCCCTGCGGGGTGGATGGAGCGCGGGTGGGCACGGCTTACCCCGGAGGGCTCCGTGCCGGGTGGGCAGCCCCACGTCCCGGCCCCCACGCTGGGTCTGCTCAGCACCTGAGGGAGGAGGAGAGAGCGGGGCTCAGCGCCGGAGGTGGGGATGGATGGATGGATGGATGGATGGATGGATGGATGGATGGATGGATGGATGGATGGATGGATGGATGGATGGATGGAAAACTGGACCACAGCGGGTTCAAATGCACCGCGTGCACCACGATGGGTGCAAACCCACCGCCAGCACCCTGATGGGTGCAACCCCACCGCATGCACCGTGATGGGTGCAAGCCCGTCACAAGTGATCCAACGGATGCAAACCCGTTGCACGCACTGTGGTGGATGTAAACCCATCGCCAGGATCATGGTGGGTGCAAACTCGTTGCATGCACTGTGGTGGGCGCCGATGCGTCACGAGTGATGCGATGGGTGCAATCCTATGGCAGGCACTACGGCCAGTGCAAACCCCCCCACCTGCACCACGGTGGGTGCGGACCCATCACCAGCAACATGACAAATGCAATCCCACCGCTTGCCCTGTGGCAGATGCCCACCCATCACAAGCACCATGGTGGGTGCCAATGTGTCACGAGTGATGCGATGGGTGCAATCCTTTCGCAGGCGCTAACAGCCAAGGCAAACCCCCTGCCTGCTCCGTGGTGGATGCCAGCCTGCCAGAAGTAATGCAACGGATGCAGTCCCATTGTACGACCCACAGCAGATGCAAACCCACCACCAGTGACAGGATGGATGCAAACCCACTGCCTGCACCATGTCACAGGCGACATTTTTTGCATACTGTGCAAACCCAGCACGTGATGGATGCAAACCCGCTGCATGCACTGACTGGTGCAAATCCATCGCATGCACCACGGTGGGTGCCGACGTGACACAAGTGATGCAATGGGTGCAGTCCCATTGCATGCACCACAGCAGATGTAAACCCATCAGCAGTGACGGGACGGATGCAAACCCACTGCCTGCACCGGGACGGATGCCACCCTGTCACAGGCGATGCGATGTGGAAACGCAGCACGTGACAGATGCAAACCCGCTGTGTGCACCGTGGCTGGTGCAAACCCAGCAGGTGAGGGGTGCAAACCCCCCCCATCAACACCCCCCCGATGGGTGCAAACCCGTCGCATGCCCCACAGCAGATGCAAGCCCATCACCCAGTGACACGACGGGGGCAAATTCGGTGGCAAACTCACCACGGCTGACACAAATCCATCGTGACCCTCACTCAGGCTGAGCCCCCCTGCCCCAAGGGAGCAGCCCCACCCCCCTGGGGTACCCCCAAAGCCCATCATCTCCCAGCCATGGGACAATACGGTGGCCCCAGGGGGGAGCAGCGAGGGAGAAGCCACATCTCCCCCAGCCCATGCCCTAGAAGCAGCTTTCACAAAGGAGAGAAAAGGAGGAGGAATTTTTTTGGGGGGAAAAAAAAAAAATCCACCATCTCCCCAGGGTTGAGCTGCTGCAAGTTTCTATGTGAGAAACATTTTGGGGTGCCCTGTTGTGGTTACATGGTGTGTGTGGGGGTGACGCTGGGATGGGTTTAAGCATCGGAGGAGCGGAAAGTAGAGATGCAGAGGGATGGGATGAGGCTGTACTCACCCCCAGGACGGTGACGAGCCACCAGTGCATCCCGCTCCTCTTCGTCACCAGGGGAGACCTGCCCGAGGGCGAGCAGCGGGGTCACCATCCAGGGAAAATCCCAGCAGAGAAGCAATTTGGGGGCCCTATTCCTGCCGTGGGGGTGCTCCAAGGCATCTGCCTAAATATCCCTGCACCAGTGGTCCCCCACCGTCCCCCCAAAAGTTTTATTAGAGGTTTTATGGGATGCCCAGCATCACCCCCTTCCCCTGCAGATCCCAACTCCATCCCGAACTGGGGAGGGATCAATCCTACAACGAGCAGGGGAAGGAGCAGGTGATGCTAAACACCATTAAACAAAGCTTTTTCCTGCTCCAGAGGAAATCCTTATGCATCTGCTACAAGGAAATGAAGTCACTAAAAAAAAAAAAAAAACAAAAAAAAAACCCAAACAAAAACATTTAAATAAAAAATAAAAAAATCAAGTGAAATGAAAGGTGTTTCCCACAGGCTCACACCTCCCCCTCCTTGGGCTCAGCAATTAATTGTTAAAATTAAAATAAATGCTGTCAGCACAGGGGAAGGGAGATAAAAATAAATAACAACTCAAACCCGGATCCAGCCTCTACCACCTGCATGGAAATTCCCCCGGTCGTCACGGTCCCATGAGAGCCGCGCCGGAGCTTCGTTACAGCCTTTGCCTGACGAGTTTCTCCTAATTAGTGGCTGGCATCATGAGATGCAGCTAATTACATGTGGGAGGGGGGATGTTGAGGGGCGAGCAGGGTGATTATAAGGACGTGGGTTGCCACGTCCCAAAATGAGCATCCTCTATGCTCCAGTTCCCCCCAGTAAGGGAGCATCCCATCAGGGTGCCAGCATGAAGCCAACCAGCCCTTCTGGGGGGGGCTGCACCCCCAAACCAAGAGCCACTGAGCCCCACCTTCGCTAGCATCGTCCGTGCCAAACTGGGACCCACTGATTTTGGGGGGGAGCTGCTGCCATCCCTCCACCGCGTGCCACCTCCCCGCTGAGCATTGTCCCGGGGTGATGGCACCCCGTGGGGACCCCCCCTGGGATTTGGGATGCGCCCCTAAATCGCTGGGGGAGGGTGAAACCAGTCCTCCACCCTGCAAAGCAGCACTAATAAAACTCGAGTTTAACATTTTAATCTTTCAGGGCAACAGTATTTAAGCCTTTAATAGCAGCACCCTAGGGACACCCTGAGATGTTTGGGGTGCTGCTCTGCTGAGGAAGGACCAGCGATGGCCTTGGAATGGGACGAGCAGGTCCCACTATGGGTGTGGGGGCCATGGGCCCGGAGCATTTTGGGGTGCTGGTTCAAGACAAACTGATTTAAACCCCCCCCAGGAACAGGGCTGGCCCCACATAAGGCAGATTTAAGGCCAAGTTTAACTCAAGGATTAAGGACAAGGTGACTAAGGCTCTGCCACTGGGACGTAGGAGGCACAAGGACCGGGGGTGGCACCTCCTGGTTGTCACCGGAGCTTTGTCCTAGTCACAGCCACCCCAGGACTCAGCACCCGTTTTGGAGAGCAGCTCAGGGCCACCCCGGGCGGGGATGGGGGATGCAGGCATAAACCCTCAGCTGGTGACGGTGCGATGCCCAGCTGCCCCAGGAGAGAAGCCCCGAAGCTCCTGGGGGAATTGAAACCCAACAGAATTTGCCCCCTAAGAACCAGAAGAAACTAAAAAATACCCCCCCCTCCAGTGCCAGACCCAGATGCTTTTTGGGGAAACCCAACCCACTTGGCTGATGCATCGATGCAAACACTCCAGGGAAGGTGAGTGGGTTTCGGTACCCCACTAAATCCCACAAACAGTTTATTCCCAGCCCTCAACGCAGCCCGTAACCCAAAGCTGCCCGCCAGGATTCCAGCGAGGGCTCCCCCTCCCTATGGGGGAACTGGGTTTCGGCCGATGGCTCCTGCAGATAAATGGGGGAGGAAAAAAAAAAGGAGCAACTGTTCAGAAACACTTTAGGGAACGGCTCTCGGAGGCGGCTTGGGACGAGGAGGGGGGATCGGCTGGCAGACAGAGCTGAAACTCAGCATTATCGCATCCCCCAGGCCCCACCAGAGCTGTGGGAACAACCCAACCGTCGCAAAAAATCCACTACGAAAGCCAAGCGAGCCCAGAGGCATCGCTGACACGCAAAGCCCAGGCTCCAGCCCCGTTTTGGGGTGCAGCCCCTCACCGCAGCATCCCAGCTGATGCTGGGATTTGGCTGGGAGCCCTGGGATTTTCCAGCTCCAGAGAAAAAAAAAAAAAAAAGAAGAAAAACAAAACAAAAAAAAACACCAAACCCCGCCACAGTTCCTATCTCTTTTTCCAGGCAGCTGCTGCTGAGGGGTTTTTTAACCTACTTTTTCCCCTCTCCACCCTTTATTTTAACCTACATCGGCGCTGCAGCAGCCAGAGCCCGCACCTGCACCCCACTTTAGGCAGCACCAAGGCAAAGCTCCCCCCAATACCCTGCTGGGGGATCAGGTCAACACAACGCCCCCCGCCCCCCCCCCCCCGTCCTTTTTTTAATTAAAAGCAGAGGGTCAAGCACCCCAAAAAGCACCAACCCGCCCTCCCGGGGCTGCAGCAACCCCAAACCCTCCCCCGAGAAAGGGGGGGAAATAACCTTTTAAGGCGAAATGCCCCACGCTCTCCCGCCCCTCCCAGCTCGGAATAAGCCCCCCCCGGGGGGTGGGGGTGGTAACCGGGCCGGGGTGCCCCTTACCTGCCCCCCCCGCCGCGGGGTCACCCCGCCGAGCGCGCCTGCTCCTTATGAATGAACCCACCGGCGCGCTACTCCCCTACGCCCCGCCCCTTACCCTGACGTCACATGACGGGGCTCCGCCCCTCTTTTCCCCCTCCCCGCACCCGCGCTTCGCCCCGCCCCCTCGTGTCGTCAGGCGGTTTCGCCCCGCCCCCCCTCTGCGGGCAGCGCCACCTGCCGGGCGCGGCGGGAACTGCGGGGGGGGGCGGGATTTGGGGGGGCGCTGGGATTTATCCCAACCGCAGAGGATTTTGGGGGGGAAAAACGGCAAAAAAGCCCAAAACATAAGACCGCGGTGGGTTTTTACCTCCTGAGCAGGACTTTTTAAAATTATTATTATTATTTTTTATTATTTTTTTGCCCCGTATGGGCTCGCGGCGGGGTGCTCCGCTGGGGCACCCATGGGTGCTGCACCCCGCTTTCCTCCGTGCCCTATAGCGCACCCCACCTTGGCCTCACCCCCTTCCCCAGGGGACAAGTTTCCCGCCTTGGGGACACCCCCCCCCTATTGTGCCTGGGCCTGCTGCTCCCCCCCAGACCCCCCACCTTGGTGCTCCCCGGGGGCTGGGGGTGTGACACGGTCCCCAGGACGGTGTCCTCCATTCTGGCTGTTTGTCCGTCTGTCATCCCTGGGGGGGGACACTCGGTGGCACAAAGGAGGGATCCCCGTCCCCCCCACATCCCCCCCTGTCCCTCTCAAAGCCAAGGACAAGACCACGCTGGCTTCATTCTGACAAGGGTCACCTTTAATGACAAAAAAAACCCCAAATTGACCAAAATTCCCCCCACTTCCCTTCCCAAAAATATCCTCATTATACCATTCCCCACTGCCCCCCCCTTTTCCCCAGATGGACAGACGGACATGGGACAGCCGCAGCCCTGTCATTGTGTGGGGACAGGGACACCCCAGTTCAGCACACACACACCCCCATCACCTCTCCCGTGGGGATGATGGGGTGCCCAGGTCTGCGAGCACCAGGCTTGCCTGGACGTTGAGGTGACAGCAGGAAAACAGGGGGTAAAAAGGCAAAAATGGGGGGGGGGGTTTGGTCCACAAAAGTCTCATTTTTCAGATTTAGGGGTGGGGGGACACACCTCTGGCGTGTGACGAAGATGATGCTTGTTTTCACCCCGAAGATGCTTCGAGCAGCGGCAGCGGCTTCATCCCGTTCCCCAGGCTGTGAAACCCCATGGGAATCACAGAGATTGGGGGGGGTGGGGGAGATCCTCCTAATTTCCTCCCCCCGCCCCCCCCCACCCCCCCACCCCCTTCACCAGCATCCCTGCGGTGTCCAGCTCCACCAGTGGGGTCCAGTTCTGCCGCTGGCTGCTGAACTGGGAAGGTTTTAATCCCCCAATTCCAGAGCAGAGCGACCTGCGGCGCTGTGACAATACGCCTGACACCCCCCACCCTCCCACCCCAACCTCCCCCTCCCCCAAAATAAATAAGGATGTTTATATATATATATAATATATATATATTTAAAACAAACGAACAAACAAACAGAGCTATCTGGGTGCTGGCGATGGAGCGAGCAGGTTAGCGGGAGGCCCGGGGTGGGGGGGACACCACGGGCGTCTTGTCCCTGGGGTGGTCCCACGGCGTGGCCGGGGGTCCCGGGGGAGTGTGGGAAGTTGGGGAGGGGGGGGTGACAGCACCGTGACCCCCCCCCCCTCGGCCCCGAAGCAGGCACACACAAAACCGGAGAGCGAGGCAGGTTCCTGGCTGTACGGCATCCTCCGGCCGGTCCCCAGGGATGCTCGTTAACGCCTTGTCCTTCGTTAGAGCCTTCCCAAACCAACGCATCCCCCCCCTGCCCCCCGCCCCCCCCTCAATTTTCTCCACGCCCCAAAAGCGGTGGGTGGGTTGTGTGGGTGTGTGGGTGCGTGTGTCGTTCCCCGCGCCCCCACCCCCCACCCCCCAAAATCAACCACCCCAGTCCAGTGAAGTGGCCGGGGCTAGGGGAGGGTGGGGGGTGCAGGGGATGGTGGGGGGGGACTGGGGCTCATCCCCTCCCCCCCCTCCCCCCCCCAACCCCGAGCACACAGAGAGCAGCTGGGTTGGAGATGAGAGGCGCTGAGGCGGGGGGGTGGCAGGGAGGGGGATCACGACCCCCCACCCTCTGCATATAGGGGGGCCAGCACCCCCCTTTCCTCGCCAGGATGGCCCCAGGGGGCTGGGGGGGGGACACACCGCGGCCGTTCACGCTCTCCAGAGGAGGAGGTGGTTGGTGCTGTCATCCCGGCCCACCGTCTCGCTGCTGCTGGTCAGGCGGAAATCCTCGTAGCCGTCCCCGCCGCTGATCACCAGCATTTTGGGTTTGGAGAGGGCGAGGGCGGGGGCGCGGGGGCGCGAGGGGTCTCGCTTCTCCGCCTCGCTCGGCTTCTCGGCCCCTGCCAAGCGCAGAACACCGAGGGGTGCTGTCAAACAGCGGCTCCCCGCTAGCATCCCAGCGTCATCCCAACATCCCCCCCCAAGCGTCGTCCCACCAGCGGCATCCCATTGTCCCAGCATCCTCCCACCAGCATCCCACCGGTATCAACCTACCAGCATCCCACCAGCACCATTCCAGCATCCTCCCACCAGCAGCTCACCAGTATCAACCTAACAGCGCCATCCCAGCATCATCCTCCCACCAGCATCCTCCCACCACCACCATCCCACCAGCATCACCCACCCACCAGCATCCTCCGAACGTCACTACCGCTTTCCCAGGTGCCACATCTTGGCCTCCCCCAAACTCTTCCCATCCCCCAATTAGCCCCTCCCAGCCCAATTAGCCCCTCCCATCCCCAATTTAGCCCCTCCTACCCCAATTAGCGACCCCTCACCCATATTACCACCCACCCCACTTCCCATCATCATTTTCTACCCATCCCACCCCGACCTCAGAGCTGGGTTGAGTGAGACTCAGCACATGGCTTTCCCCACGGGAATTAGGGTTTCCCAGGAAAATTCGGGGTCACTTTCCCTGAAGTGGGGGTAGCACCCAATTTCCCCCCCACCCCAATTTTCCTCCCTGGATTTTAACAAGGCGAGGCTGGAGCAGGGACGCCGGTGACCACATTTCAAGGCTATTCCCCAGTTATCTGACAGTGGGACCATGGAGTGGCTCAGGATTGGGCTCCCCCCTCCCCGCCATCATCCCACCTACCCGTCTCCCTCGGCAATGGGAAGAAGACGTCGAATCCATCGGGCAGCTCGATGGTGGTGAGGAAGCGGACGTGGCCGGTGTGACCCTGGGAGAGTCCCACCAAGGCCGGGGCCGCCTTGGCCGAGAGGGAGAGGGTCAGCACCACGCCGGCGCTGGTCCCGATCCACAGCAGGTCCTTGCACGCCAGGAGCGCCGTGATCCGCAGGCAGGCTGCCTTGTGCTGCCGGATTATGGCATCTGAGCCTGTCGAGTATCCCTGTCGTCAGCATTTGACCCCCTCCAGGCTGTGAATCCCGCCGATGCCACAGGCTTCCCGGCACGTGGGACACAGGGAAGGGACCCCACAACCCCCCACCCCTGCCCCGGCCGGTATAAAGCACCCCGGGGTGCTCTCAGATTGTTTCTCTGTGGGATTATGAAGATGCCCAGGGGTTGCCGTAATCCTGGGTGGGATTATGCACATGCTGTGCAGTGCCCTCTTTCTGCATGGGATTATGAAGATACTCAGGGGTTGCCCTATTACTCTGTGGGATTATGAAGATGCCCAGGGGTTGCCCTATTTCTCTGTGGGATTATGAAGATGCCCAGGGGTTGCCCTAATCCTGGGTGGGATTATGCAGCCACCCAGGGGTTTCCCTGTTTCTATGTGGGATTACGCAGCCGCACGACACAGAGGACGAACCCCATGGGCGCAGGGAGTCACGTTTCCTTCCCCCCAAACGCGTTGGGGCGCAGGAGATATTAAATTTCCCCGTCGCATTTTCAAGGCAGATGCTGGGCACAGCTACCCACCGGAGACAGCGACGGGCACCCACCGGAGATGTGCCACCGGTGGGACTTACCAGCGAGCATCTTGTGTACCGGCGGGGTGATATCCGCTTCGGCCAACTGCTCGTAGCTGGTGGCGTGGTAAAGCCGGACCTGGGCGCTGCTCTGCAGCGCGACCCACACGCCGGTCCCCGCGCTCACCATGCAGGTGACGCTGCGCCCGCCGTCCTGTCCCACCTGGAGCGTGTGCTGCGGGTGACAGAGCCACAGCGATGCCACCGACCGCGACACCGATGCCCGCCGCCGGCCCCGCCGACCTCCCGCCGCCGCCCGCCGTACCTCTTGCGCCAGCGTGGTGGTGTTGAGGACGATGACCCGGTTTTGGCAGCCGCACCAGAGCTTCCCCGCCACCGCCACCATCTTGGTGATGGGGCTCCCCGGTGAGCCCAAGGACAGGGATTTGGAGTTTTGGGGGTCCCAGAAGCGGCCTGTGAGGGCGGTGGGAGTGGGGTGGGTAGTTGAAACATCCCCCCCCAAAACCCGCATCTTGATCTGGCTGATGGGATGCGGTGTGTCCAGGTCCCCCATTAGAAGGGACATGAGCTGATGTCCCCAGGGGATGCCAGCGGCAGGCATGGATCAGGAGGAGGATGCACACCTCCTCTTGGCTCCAATTTTAGGGCCTCCAGCATCCCTCAAGGGATGTCTCTTCCCGTCCCACAGAGGCAGGGAAGCCACCAGCACCTCAAGCATCCCTCGCCTGGGGGGCTGACCAAGCCACCCACCCAAAGCCACCACTTTGAGGCTGCATTTAACCCCCCCTGGAACCCTTTGATGTCCCAAATCTGACCTCACCTGCCTCCCGTTGGTACGCAATGAGCTCCCCGTTGGCCAACGACACGAAAACTTGGTTATCCAGGTACCTGTGGGGAGAAAACCCCTTTTGACAACTGGCTGCAGAGCCCTGCTCAGCCACCCCAAAACACCCTGCTGTGGAGATCCTGGAGCCAAAAAATCCCCCTTCCCCACTTACAAGATGCACATGACGGCCGCGGCGTGTTGCATCTTCATGCTGTTCTTTCTGTTACGGATGTTGTCCGAGGACTGGTACACGTGGATGCTGCAGGAGAAGAGCAAAGCTTGC